ACACCAAAATTTGCCTTTTGGCCATCTTGTACTCATATCACAATCCCCAGGCTCCAGAAGCAGACAAGGAGACAAAGAGACAAGCAGACGAACAGCAGAACGGTGCGGCAGAGAAAGAGAAGAGGAGGAACATCTGAGCACTGTGAGGTGTTTGGCTGGGGGCAGTCAGCGAGGAGTTTGGCTGCTGGCTGTCCAGACTCCAGGGGAAGGTCATCTTCCCACTCCGTCATTGGCTCTGTACAAACTCTAAGTGAGGAGGGGGCTTCCAGGTTATAGGTAGGTAAGAGACAAAATGGTTGCGTCCTTTTGAGTTTTTGATTAGCCTCTCCAAAGGAGGCACTCTCAGTGAGCAGAGGGGTGACTTTGAGTTCTGTCTGTCTGTTGTCCAAAAGGAAATTCCTTGTGAGGGAGGTGTGTATGCCATTCTTTCTACATTGCTTGAAAACGAGGTGATGTATTGTTTTAAGTGAGGTGCTACAGGTAGCACTTACTGCTAGGTGGAACCCCAATATCCATCCATTCCTGCCTTAATAGTGATAGGATTTGCATTTGGGTGGCCTTGGATCAAGACTCTATTTTTTTTTTAAATCTTAGTAGCTACATTTTTAGGAGTAGAATGGAAGGCTTGCCCTAAGCAGTTCCCTTGACTCTTCCCTTTGGCTTAGTGATTTTGGGGTCCCAAGATTTCTTTCCTTTCACACTAAGCAGCCCTGGAGTACAGTGTCGGCAGCACTTTATGCTCTAGAATCGACTTCACTCCCAAAAGCCAGATGTCGCTCTCTACCACCAAGATTAAGGTGCTGGTGCCTGGTCCATTTAACCCCAGATCCACTAATTATGCTAACTCTTTAGAATGGTTGGATGAAGAATCGGGATGGAAATCTCAGGACGCTGGAAAATGCTCTTAATAACAACTGCCAGAGAAAAGGTAGCCAGTCTGTGCTGCAGTGGGTGACCTGGACATTCTCAGCCCTTCTCTTTTTCTTGTCTTTGCCCCTGTACCCCCTACCAGTGTGTACATATTTGCTAAAAGGGACTGGCATCAAGAAGGTGCCAGCTTGCCTAGTGAGGAGGAGTCATTGCCAATCAAGTCTTCAAATACAGACTCAATAGGAAAAAGGAACACGTTTTTCCCCAAGGTTAAACACTAGTGTCATTTAGAACAGGAATACTACTGGAGAGCAGGATGTACGGTGTCTCTGGGGAGAGTTTCAGAACATATCCACAGTACTGTGACAGTCCCATATAAGGCACATCCTGTCACCAGTGGAGGACGTTCCTGGTCTCCCCCAGCATGACTGCCACCTTGGTTTCCAAATCTGACCTCTCCCCGAGGTAAAGTGCCAGCTGTCCAAGCCAATGTCCCTTCAGAGGGCCACTAAACAATCTGAAATGAATAATCCCATTTCAGTTGCCGGCTCCCCTCTCCATTCCGCGTTTCTGATAATGATATTGTAATAACCTGATGGGTTCTTCCTGCCTGCTGCACAGATAAAACCAATTTTTGACATCGTGGCATTGCAATAAAGAAAGAGTTTAACTGACATGAGGCTGGCCACACTCTGTGGGAGATGAAGTTATTACTCAGGCCGACCTTCTGGAAAATTCAGAGGCTAGGGTTTTTCAAGGGTCGTTTGGCTGGCAGAGGGCAAGGGGAACAGATGTGGCTGACTGGTTGGGGATGCAATCACAAGGGTGTGGAAAATGGTCCTCGTGCACTGAGTCTGCTTCCTGGGTGGGTCCACAGGACTGGCTGGGCCAAGAGTCAAGGTCCCATCATCTGGTCACGAGAAATATAAAATCCTGAAAGGACACCTCCAATGACCAAGCTTAGGTTCGACAAGAGTGATGTTATCCACAGGAGTAATCGGGGAAGTTGCGATCTTCTGATCTACGGAATAGTGGCTGGTAATTGTTTACACCTCCATCTTAGCAGAACTCAGGCTTCTCTCATCCTTCTAACTGGGTGGTCCCAGTTCCTTTTACAAAGGCAGTTTAGTTTTGGGGAAGGACTAGTATCACTTAAACTATAAACTAAAGTTTCTAACTCCCAAAGTTAGCTTGGCCCACACCTAGGAATGACCAAAGGCAATTTGGAGGGTAAAGGCAAGATGGGGATTGGGTAGATCAGGTCTTTCACTAGCATAATGTTCTCACTGTTACAATTTTTGCAAAGATGGGTTTTCAGTACCACAATTTTCTTGGGCCATTCTTTGTACACTACTTGAAAATGATGTGATTTGTTGTTTTAGGTGAGGTGCTACGGGTAGCAGTTACTGCCGGGTGGAGCCCCAATATCCATCCATTCCTTCGTTCATAGTGATAGGATTTGCATTCGGGTGGCTTAGGGTCAAGACTCTATTTCCTAGATGCCCCTGTCTCTCGGGGTCATGACATACTCAGTTCTGGCCAAAAGGCTGTGGGTGAAATTATTGTATGTAATTTCTAGATCATATCCTTAACAGCAAGGGGTGTGATCTTTTTCTATCCCATCCTTCATCCTGCTGCCTAGAACATTCTGGGGGTGGGGAAGCCAGTTTGGAGAATGCCAACAGGGGCAGCACTGTAGAGATGGCAGAGCAACTGGAAAAGAGGAACCAGGGTCTTAGATCCTCTGCAGCTGCCATTCCAGCCTTGACTTACTATTTATCTGGACAATTAGGAGACAGAGCAATAGACATCTATCTTGCTTAAGCCACGATTCTTGTGAGTCTCTGTTAGAGGATTTGAAACTTATCCTAAAGAAAAAGCCACCAGAGAGGCCCCATTTTCCCCAGCTGTTCAGTGGCTTAGTCTCAGAGGCCTGTCCACTTGTGTTAGAGGCAGGAGACAGTCAAATGCCTAGGCAAATAGGGAAGGGTCCCTGCAGAACCTCTCACTCACCCAGGACATTTTGCACAGTGGGCTTACCTAAACATACCCACGGTGAAAAATTCCGTCCCTCAACACATGCGCAGTAAGGGAGAGAAATTAATGTGGAGTGGCCCAGACTAAGAGCCCACATGTGCACTGAAAGAAGGGGTGAAGCCATCAGGAATTCATGCCTGTCCTCTTCGACTCATGTGTGATGGCCAGGCACTCAATTTGTGAGGTGGAAAACCTGCATGCAGGACCCCTCTTTTTGTTGAGAACTTTCCTTTTGCTTAATAAATTCTGCCCTCCTCACCTTTCAATGTGTCCACGTGCCTAATTTTTCCTGGTTGTGAGATGAGAACCCAGATTTAACTGAACTAAGGAGCAAGACATCCTGCATCACTTGTAGAAATCGGACTGTGATTTGAAGGCAGACTGGATATGACCAGGGTGGAGGCCGTGCAAGCTGCTAGTCGGACACACAGAGGCTCACACCATCCTCTTCCTCTTCACCCTTCCTTCTATCTGCCATCATCACCCAGACACTGAATCTCAACCTTTTGGATGTCGAAGTGTCTCTCCCATTACCCGCTCTCATCTGCTTCCATTTCTGCAGGCCTTTTATTTGGGTGATGTTGTAGGCTGAACAGGAGCTTTCTCTGCCTTTCCTCTTTTTTCATCCTGTCCTTCCTATACTTTGATTCCAGAGTAATCTTTGTAAAATAGTTATTATAAAATCTGGATTTCTCCTTTATATATCCCCACAATGCCTAGACTCTTGATGCTCTCAGTGGACCTTACCTTCCATCACTCCCTCAGACAAACCTTCCTCGCCACTGGGTTAATCACTCTGATCATGCTGTCCTGGGAAACCTATGGCTTCATTTCTGCTTTGCATCTTGGCTCACAGCATCCCCTGGCAGTGGTGCCTCTGCTGGTGCTGGTGCATTTTCGTGTCCAACATCAGCCCTGCCCCACAGAGGGCCAAGCCCATGTCTCCTGACGCAGACCTCTGCTTTGTCTGAAGCCCCACACTGCCCACAGCTGGTCATTTAATTATTCTTGGTGTGATGAGTCTCTTTCTCATTCCAGGGGCTCACAGAATCGTTAGAATTTTGGAGCTGTCAATGATTTACATGCATACTTTCCCAAGTGGAAGTAGAATTTAAATTCACATAGTCCTAATCAGACACCTCCTTTTTAGAGGGGCGCCCACCCCAGCTACTGCTTTGATCATATTAGAATGGGTCTGTGGTGGGGGGGAAATAGGGGAGCGACAGTGGGGGGTGGGGAGTTGGGGAGAGATAGCATGGGGAGAAATGCCAGATGTAAGTGACGGGGAGGAAGGCAGCAAATCACACTGCCATGTGTGTACCTATGCCACAATCTTGCATGTTCTTCACATGTACCCCAAAACCTAAAAAGCAATTAAAAAAAACAAAGAAAACTCCGAACCAAACTCCCTGGGAGGCAATGCCTGTGGCCTGCTTTCCAGGCAGCGTGACTCCCCGCTGTGTGCTTGGAAATCAATCACAACCCTTCCTTCCTGTCTGGAGTTTTCGAGAGAACAGTGACATGACAGCCCACTGTACATGAAGCAAGTTAGGGCATGTCCTGGCCAAGATCCCAGGATCCTGAGTTTCTTGTCTGATCCCGAGTTGAATTTATGGGTCACAGTACATATCTGGCCTCCTTCTTTTAAGGACAGAATCCCTTATGTTACAAGAAGCAGGACAGGAAAAGCCACATAGCAATCTGGATAATTTAAGTTTGTAAGGATGGATCTCTTTTTCTAGAAGAGCCTAGGTATAGTCAGAGGTGACCTCTAATTCCAAATACAAGGGCAGGCGTGTACTGGAAACATGACAAATGCTTACTGGCTGCCTGACAATTGCGGGGCTCACCTTAGCTTTGGCCGTGGAGCCCGGCTCTGATCTCAGAGAAAAAAATCATCCTCAAGTTTCCCTTTTCCTTGTCACTTTGCTTTGAAAAGCCTTTCTCCAGTTTCTCCCCAGCTTGGGCTTTATTTCTTGCCTAATTTCTGCTTCTACCTGCTTTGTTTTTTGTGCTTTTGACTATAGCTACCATATGGAGGGTGAGCCACTGTGGTGCTCCTCAGAAATAATCAAGCTTTTTAGTGTGCGTGGTTTTCTTCCTTTTTTTTTTTTTTTTTTTTTTGCAAGAGGCAGTATACTTCAAAGGTTTGGTCCCACATTTAAAGGTGGGGTGGAAATAATGGGCACTCAAAATGCTTTGGGCAATCAGAAAATTCCTCCTGCCCAGCAATATTGCAGTGGTGTCGCAGAATTTGTTAAACAAAAGATCTTAGTGATTTAGGGTGAATTCTGTTTACAGTAGGTGGTGTTTACTTTGCAGCTTAGCAATAGAAGGAGGTGGGGTGAGTCACAATGTCAATTATTTTTTCTAACTTCTGTAATTTTTTCAGTTGAGAGAGCTTCTAAATCAGTGAAAAGAAGGTCACATCTCCGTGGATTATCTGATTGAGCTGAGGGCCTAGAGCAGCAGGAGCTGGGATGGGTTTGGGGCGGGTGGGGGCGTAACCTGCAGTGCAGCTGTGGGGTGCCCTGGTCCTCGGGGTCCTGGAAGTCCTTGACTGATCAGAGCACCTGGAGGGGCTGTCACCATGATTTAAAGCTCTGAGAATATGAATTAGCAGGAAGTAGGTGGATGGTGTCATTCTGGCCCTGAAAGGCTTCCATAAATCACCGGCACGGTGGAGCCCCGCAGACTCCTTCCCTGCTGGTTTCTGGAGGCGTTCCTTCCCACTATGCCCAGACAAGTGGAAAGGAGCGATTCCTCGAGTGGGTGGGTTGTGGCCAAATGGCCTGCCCTCCCCACAGCTTGCAGATCCAGGCGGTTGGGTTTTCGCTGGAGCTTTAGGCTTCATCCACAGACTGGAGAGCTGCAGAATCCTGGCTCCATAGTGGGGCCTGGGTTCTGGCCTTGGGAGGGATTTGACTTTGACACTGGTGGTGATGAGGGAATTTTTAATGAAACAGATCCTGTCATGTCAGATCAACACAATGGAGCTCAGTCTGCACGGTGGACAAGAATGGCCTGTTCCTTCCTTCTCCCCTTTGTGCTTTGTTAACAGAATGTCCCTGGCACTTCTGTGCTCCTGCCTGCTGCCAAAAGCTTAACTCTGCCCTTACATAACACTGGGGGACACTGTCAGAAGGTCAGCTGGAAGTCCCTCACCCGAAGGCAGATGTGAGGGCTAAAGCCCTGCCAAGATCCCCAGGCCGATTTTCAGTGTTCAGGTTGAAACTTACTCCCTGCAGCCATCCCCAGTTTATCAACTCCTCCCTCTAACTGGGGTGGAGACTTGGGGTCCAGGGAGTCTTCGGCGCCCCTCCATAATGCAAGAACACCCGCCATTGACTCCAAAAGCTGCGCAGTTATTTCCCTCCATCTCTTCAGCTCCATGCTCCAGCAGGCATGGAGGAACTAGAGCCACACTGAGGTCAGCCGTAGGGAACGTTGCCCCCTTCACTCACCCACTTCTGTTAGGCAAGCAGTGACAATGGCATCTTTGACGTGGGAAATATGACCTTCGGGCGGCTCCTGGGGTCTGAGGAACAGGATTCAGGCGCCTCTGTACCTTGGCCAATTTGCATTCTTGTCTGCCTAGGAATGCCAGCTCCTGTTAAAAACCACAACTATAGGAAATAGCCCCAAGCCTAAGGTTCTTTCCCTTCCTTACCCTCTTTGTCTCTGCGGCTACTCAGCTCAGGAGGTGAGGTGATGTTTTTTCATGGTGCAGGGGTCAGACATTCCCGTTCCGGGAGTGGGAGTTGGCTGGACTTCGTTACTGTGGCCACACACCACCTTAGCCATCAGCCTTACAAATGCTTGGCTGGTTTGTTTGTTTTGGTTCCAGGGGGAATGGGAATATAAAAAGGAGCAACGGGCAGCTCAAATACCTCATCACTCCTGGAAACCACTGTCACTTCCCACACGCCGGAAGGCAGCATATTTGTTCCCGCAGTACAGGCAGGTGGAGTATCCCTAATCTGAAAATCCAAAATCAAAAATGCTCTAAAATCCAAAGCTTTTTGAGCAGCAATATCATGCCACAAGTAGCAAATTCCACACTTAACGTCACGTGACAAATCACAGTCAAAAAGTATTCAAGACTTTACGTCAGGCAGGTTATTTATTTATTATTTATTTTTTAAGATACTCCCTCTGTTGCCAGACTGGAGTGCAGTGGCACGATCTTTGCTCACAGCAACCTCTGACTCCCTGGTTCAAGCGATTCTCCTGCCTCAGCCTCCCCAGTGGCTGGGATTACAGGTGTGCGCTACCATGCCCAGCTAATGTTTGTGTTTTTAGTAGAAACGGGGTTTCATCATGTTGGCCAGGATGGTCTTGATCTCTTGATGTCATGATCACCCGCCTTGGCCTCCCAAAGTGCTGGGATTACAGGCATGAACCACCGTGCCTGGCCATGCACAACATTATTAAAATATTGTATAAAATTACCTGGAGGCTGTGTTTATAAGAATTTATATATAAAGCATAAACAAATTTTGTCTTTAGACTTGGGTTCCATCTTCGAGTTACCTCATTACATATCTTTTTTAAAATTTTGTCTTTGGAATATATCTCATATATTTAAAAAAATCTCAACTGGAATTATTTCTGGTCCCAAGCATATTTATTTATTTATTTTTGAGACAGGGTCTCACTCTGTCACCAAGACTGAATGCAGTGGTGTGATCACTGCAGCCTCAACATCCTGGGGTCAAGCGATCCTCCCGCCTCAGTCTCCTGAGTAGCTGGGGCTGCAGGTGCACCACCATGCCTGGCTAATTTTTAAAAAAATTTTGTAGGGATGTGGATTGGGGAGATCTTGCTATGTTGTCCAGGCCAGTCTTGAACTCCCGGGCTCAAGTGATCTTCCCACCTTGGCCTTCTAAAGTGTTGGGATAACAGGTGTGAGCCACCATGCCTGGCACTTTTTTTGTTTTTTAGAGATGGGCGGGGGGGGAGGGGTCTAGTTCTGTTGCCCAGGCTGGATTCAAACTCCTGAGCTCAACCTCTCAAGGAGTTGGGGTTACAGGCACACGCCACTGCACTGCAAACACCTTGGATAAGGGCAACTTGTAATCCATTTTCCACCTGCCTTTTGTTTGCTGTATCTATCCCAGCTCTGCTATTTTCTAGCTGTTTGGTCTTGCACAAGTTGCTTTACATCTGTATGCCCTACTTTCCACATCTGATAAATTAGTATCATTTCGGAGATCATTATGACGATTAGATGAGATAATAAAGGTAAAGCTCTTAGAATGGTGCTTGGCCCCTAGTAAGCACTCAAATATTGTTTTCGTCAACATCTTCTATGTGTCTGTCTATGTATGGCTTTTGTGACTGTTTCTATTTTTAGTCAAGGACTACATTTCATTTCTCGTCTTTTCTTTGTGTTCTGAATTCAGGCTCTGTCAATCTACCAGCCACTGCACATTTTCAAGCTGAAAGACCATTTGCATTCCAGAACCACTCTCTCAAATATTCCTTTAGGGAACCGGCCGTTTTGAATTGCTCCTGTCTTTTCTCTCTCGTCTCCAGAATTGCATATTCCAAACCCAGCACAGTCTCAGCATGGCTGCCGTTTTCTCGTTTCTTTGTGAAGCGTCCCTGTCCACACTGCCAGCCTCACGTTATTTGATTGTTTTCGAAACAGCCGGCAGGGGGCGCGCATCAGCCGTTCCCGGCTTTCAGGCGAGGGTTTGACTCTCCAGGTGCTTCTGTTAATGAGTTCAGTACCTGTAATCTTTCAGTTTAGGAGGATAGAAAGCTTCCTTGGCATGGAGATTCACCGGGTACTTCTGCAAACAGAAGTTTAAAAGACAGAAAGCTGTATCTTATCGCTGCTGAGAGCTTTGCAGTCACACCTCCCTGTGGTGAGACTGACAGCTGTGTTACTGTGGGTACATTGCTCAGCTTCCCTGAGGCACTTTCTTTTTACTTAAAAATGGGGCAGAATCCAGCCTGGCCCCTAGAGATGTTGGGAAGTCAGCATGTGGCCGATAGATGCAGAGCTCTTAGCTGCTGGGGTACTTAGGAAATGGGGAGCATCATCACTTGGGGCACTGAGGCTACTTCGGGGCCCCCTCTTGTCTCTCTCCTCACCATCCACCGCCTTTTCTTCTCCCTTCCGACCCACTTTTTCTCCCTGCTCTTCATTTCCCAGGCCTGACACCAATGCCTGCAGGTATGAGGAAGCCTCCGTTTGCATAGGGCTGGGATACCCAGAGGGGAGGCTGGGGCACTCATAGGATGAAAAGGCCAGTGGAAATGCCATTCCACTTCCCCTCAGCTTTTCAGATGCACTCTGTGAACCTCATCTAGTCTCTTGGTCAGCAGAAGCAAAATTAGCCATAATTAGCTCACACTGCACCCACCCTCTACCCCACGCCACCCGACCAGGGCTGAGAGACATAACAAAAATAAACTCCACGAGAGTGTTCTTTATAGCCCAATGCACAGAACTGGCAGTGCCATGTGGACATCACCCTGGGTGGCATGCATACTCACCATACCTGAGCACCTACCTAGGCAGCTGGGAAAAGGGTTGCTGTAGGGACCTGGGACCCCAGAGAGGGCGGGTGGGTGGGACGGGGACACAACCTCAGCTGGCTTAGAGGAGAGTGGGGCTCAGTGCCCAGGCTCAGCTCAGCCTGGCTTGGGGGACCATCCAGGCCTGGCTTAGCACCAGAGATTTGGTTGGGGACAGGTCTGGAAGGCTCCATACCTCTAATCTTCAAATGCTTCTGGGTCTGTCTTGCACCTGGAGGGCTGGTCTAGAGGCCTTCTGTCCACAGGGGTAGCTTAGTTTGTTTTCTTTGAAGGCCTGGGTCTCTCTGTGGGGGGATAAGGGTCATGTGAGTTGGGTGACGGGTTTGCTCGGGCTTTAGCCCTGAAAGTCCTGCCTCCCAGGAGGACACTCAGTCCTGGGCAACTGGAAGGGGTGTCCACCTGGTGGGATGTATCACATCATGTGTGAATCTTGGGCAGATCCCTGCAGGAAAGCAATGCGGCTTTAGGATGTGATAAGGCCTTTCGGGACCCGGCCTTGCTGCCGAAAAATGAACTAACCATGTCCCACCACCAGAATTGATACTGGTGCTGCTTAGAGGCTTCTCACAACACCTAACGAATGGGGAGCTGGACCGAGCCTCTGTCTTCCAGAGTACTGCGGCTAGTGGGGTCAAAGCGGACTTATCCCAAATGGGGATGCCTTGGAGTGGCTTCCTGCTTTTGTCCAGGAGCCCCTCCCCCACCCAGATTCCACAGGAGGGCACTAGAGCCTTGGCCCACGCCCCGTCCATCCCTGGCAGGCTGCAGCATGCCCGGCCAGAGAGCACCTTGCCAACCTTTGCCTCTAATTGCTCTCTCTGCACACAGCCACTTCCTCTGCCTGCAGCAGAACTCATAAAAAGGGAGGCTCTCCTTCATACCTTTGAAAAGTTCAAAGGAACCCATTTCCTAGGGGAGACTGGTCATGCTGTCACTGGGATCAGAGGCTGCTGAGGATGCTGGTCATGAACTGCTGCTGACCTGGGCCCACCTGCCCTGAACTGCACCCCTGCCCTGTGACTGCTTTTCAGTGTCAACATCCTGTGCTCTAGGGAAGTCCAACCTCTATCAAGACCAGCTCTGTTCTGTTTTGGGATCAATCCGCACCCCTTAACCCTGCACTGCATCTTACAGAGGGAGCCCCCATAGCTGTGAAGGAGGCCATGAAACACGTCAAGCCTATCCTAGAATGGTAGGTGACAAAGCCACACCCAACTCTGGCGAGGCGCTCACTCTGACCCATCAGATGCTTGCTCCACTGCTCTGCGCCTACCGCCCCTGCTATTCCACGGGGCCCCAATCCTGGGTTTGATTGGGCAATAAAGCGATGTCAGCTTACATGAGTTCAAGGCACAGCCGTGTTCAGACTGGGAGTAGGGTTTCTGGTTCTTTGGCACAGCTCTTGGGCAAACTCCAGCTCTTCCCTAGCATCCAAGTTGGTAGTGTGTGTTCATGAGCATCTCAGACAGGATGCCAGATGCCGACCAGTAGGGAGTTTCTGGGAGAAAATGACAGTTTGTGCTGTCTGTTCCAGCTGAAGGTGCTCAGGCAAGGCTTGTTGAACAAATACATACATCCTACTTACATAACAGGAAACGATCTCTAAGGGGAACCTGATTTCATAACTTAGGGGTATGTAGAAACAGGATAGGGCTGGACTGGAAGGAAAAACACTCATTTCTAGTATACTGTCTTCTCCTGATGACCTTTACTCTCCTCTACCACCCAGCAAGCCAAGTGGTGGGAGTCAGATATGCATATTAAATAGCACGTGCAGTGGAAGGCTGGCCAGCGCCTTCGCCATTCCATGCATCTGAAACTTCTGCCCTGCAACACCCGGCTGCTGTTGCAACACACACACACACACACACACACGCACATGCACACTCAAACACATACATGCGTGCACACATGCACACACGCTCAGACACACATACTCACACACACATAAACAAACACACTCATATACTCAGACACACACACTCAAACACACACACATAAACATAAACACACTCATATACTCAGACACACACAAACACAACCCAAGCATGCACACAAATATACACAAACATATGCACACTCAAACACATGCACACACCTGCACAAAAATATATGCATAGACACACTTGTGCTTACAAACTAAACACATACACATAAACACACTCTACACACACACACAAACATACCCATCTATACATAAACACACTACACACACACACAAACATACCCATCTATACATAAACACACTCTCTACACACACACACAAACATACCCATCTATACATAAACACACTCTCTACACACACAAACATACCCATCTATACATAAACACACTCTACACACACACACAAACATACCCATCTATACATAAACACACTCTACACACACACACAAACATACCCATCTATACATAAACACACTGCACACACGCACAAACATACCCATCTATACATAAACACACTCTCTACACACACAAACATACCCATCTATACATAACACACTCTCTACACACACAAACATACCCATCTATACATAAACACACTGCACACACGCACAAACATACCCATCTATACATAAACACACTCTCTACACACACAAACATACCCATCTATACATAAACACACTCTCTACACACACAAACATACCCATCTATACATAAACACACTGCACACACGCACAAACATACCCATCTATACATAAACACACTCTCTACACACACAAACATACCCATCTATACATAAACACACTCTACACACACAAACATACCCATCTATACATAAACACACTCTCTACACACACAAACATACCCATCTATACATAAACACACTCTACACACACACACAAACATACCCATCTATACATAAACACACTCTACACACACACACAAACATACCCATCTATACATAAACACACTGCACACACGCACAAACATACCCATCTATACATAAACACACTCTCTACACACACAAACATACCCATCTATACATAAACACACTCTCTACACACACAAACATACCCATCTATACATAAACACACTCTCTACACACACAAACATACCATCTATACATAAACACACTCTCTACACACACAAACATACCCATCGATACATAAACACACTCTCTACACACACAAACATACCCATCTATACAGAAACACACTCTACACACACACACAAACATACCCATCTATACATAAACACACTCTACACACACACACAAACATACCCATCTATACATAAACACACTGCACACACGCACAAACATACCCATCTATACATAAACACACTCTCTACACACACAAACATACCCATCTATACATAAACACACTCTCTACACACACAAACATACCCATCTATACATAAACACACTCTCTACACACACAAACATACCCATCTATACATAAACACACTCTCTACACACACAAACATACCCATCTATACATAAACACACTCTCTACACATACAAACATACCCATCTATACATAAACACACTCTACACACACACACAAACATACCCATCTATACATAAACACACTCTACACACACACACAAACATACCCATCTATACATAAACACACTGCACACACGCACAAACATACCCATCTATACATAAACACACTCTCTACACACACAAACATACCCATCTATACATAAACACACTCTACACACACACACAAACATACCCATCTATACATAAACACACTCTACACACACACACAAACATACCCATCTATACATAAACACACTGCACACACTCACAACATACCCATCTATACATAAACACACTCTCTACACACACAAACATACCCATCTATACATAAACACACTCTCTACACATACAAACATACCCATCTATACATAAACACACTCTACACACACACACAAACATACCCATCTATACATAACACACTCTACACACACACACAAACATACCCATCTATACATAAACACACTGCACACACGCACAAACATACCCATCTATACATAAACACACTCTCTACACACACAAACATACCCATCTATACATAAACACACTCTCTACACATACAAACATACCCATCTATACATAAACACACTCTCTACACACACAAACATACCCATCTATACATAAACACACTCTACACACACACACAAACATACCCATCTATACATAAACACACTGCACACACGCACAAACATACCCATCTATACATAAACACACTCTCTACACACACAAACATACCCATCTATACATAAACACACTCTCTACACATACAAACATACCCATCTATACATAAACACACTCTACACACACACACAAACATACCCATCTATACATAAACACACTCTACACACACACACAAACATACCCATCTATACAATACACGCACAAACATACCCATCTATACATAAACACACTCTCTACACACACAAACATACCCATCTATACATAAACACACTCTCTACACACACAAACATACCCATCTATACATAAACACACTCTCTACACACACAAACATACCCATCTATACATAAACACACTCTCTACACACACAAACATACCCATCTATACATAAACACACTCTCTACACACACAAACATACCCATCTATACATAAACACACTCTACACACACACACAAACATACCCATCTATACATAAACACACTCTCTACACACACACAAACATACCCATCTATACATAAACACACTGCACACACGCACAAACATACCCATCTATACATAAACACACTCTCTACACACACAAACATACCCATCTATACATAAACACACTCTCTACACACACAAACATACCCATCTATACATAAACACACTGCACACACGCACAAACATACCCATCTATACATAAACACACTCTCTACACACACAAACATACCCATCTATACATAAACACACTCTACACACACAAACATACCCATCTATACATAAACACACTCTCTACACACACAAACATACCCATCTATACATAAACACACTCTACACACACACACAAACATACCCATCTATACATAAACACACTCTACACACACACAAACATACCCATCTATACATAAACACACTGCACACACGCACAAACATACCCATCTATACATAAACACACTCTCTACACACACAAACATACCCATCTATACATACCCATCTATACATAAACACACTCTCTACACACACACACAAACATACCCATCTATACATAAACACACTCTCTACACACACACACAAACATACCCATCTATACATAAACACACTCTCTACACACACACACAAACATACCCATCTATACATAAACACACTCTCTACACACACAAACATACCCATCTATACATAAACACACTCTCTACACACACAAACATACCCATCTATACATAAACACACTCTCTACACACACACACAAACATACCCATCTATACATAAACACACTCTCTACACACACACACAAACATACCCATCTATACATAAACACACTCTCTACACACACACACAAACATACCCATCTATACATAAACACACTCTCTACACACACAAACATACCCATCTATACATAAACACACTCTCTACACACACAAACATACCCATCTATACATAAACACACTCTCTACACACACAAACATACCCATCTATACATAAACACACTCTCTACACACACACACAAACATACCCATCTATACATAAACACACTGTCTACACACACACACAAACATACCCATCTATACATAAACACACTCTCTACACACACACACAAACATACCCATCTATACATAAACACACTCTCTACACACACAAACATACCCATCTATACATAAACACACTCTCTACACACACAAACATACCCATCTATACATAAACACACTCTCTACACACACACACAAACATACCCATCTATACATAAACACACTCTCTACACACACACACAAACATACCCATCTATACATAAACACACTCTCTACACACACACACAAACATACCCATCTATACATAAACACACTCTCTACACACACACAGAAACATACCCATCTATACATAAACACACTCTTTACACACACAAACATACCCATCTATACATAAACACACTCTCTACACATACAAACATACCCATCTATACATAAACACACTGCACACATGCACACGCACTCCTTTCCACCACTTGAGAGGTTGGGATATGAGAGAAGACACGAACTTTTCATCTGCACTTCACTACAGTATGCTGTACAATTGTTCTGCAGGAATTTGGGATGCATGTCATTGAAATTCTCTAAGTTTCACTTGATAACAATAGTTTAATGCTGTGAAAATATCCATATATCCTTGCAATGGTTTGCAGCTTCTGAAATGTGGTCATCTGTTGCACGTTTATAGAATTCGAGGCAGCAGAGATCGATCCAAGATGGCCGACCACTAACAGCTCAGGATTGTAGCTCCCAGTGAAAGCCCAGAGAACGAGACGACACCACACTTTTAGACGAATTTTCGTCACTCACTGATCAGCCGATTCCCAGAGGAGGAGCCCCACGAGTCGCCAGCGCGACTCTTGTGGCCGCCGCAGCGGTTTTGCCGGCGTCTCGGCACAGCAGGTCTTCATGCAGAGCCAACGGGACTGCTTCCCCTACTGACCGGAGTTTGGAGCTCCGGGAAGTCAGAGCCGCTTGTTGCGGACTCAAGAGGGAAGCCAGACCAGAGATTCCCGGGCAGAAGAGCACCATCAGTCTTACCGCTGCTATTTAGGCTGCCACAGTGGGTTGCTCGGATCCCAACACTGGGAATCAGTAAGTCGGACGTCGACTCAGAAAACTAATTAGAAAGGCAGTCCATCTACAATGAAGGGAAAAAAACAGCCTAAGAAGTCCGAGTATACTCAAAATCAGAACCCATCAGCGACAGAACAAACCCTGATGGAAAAGGACTCATCAGCAACCGAACAAGCCCTGATGGAAAAGGACTCATCAGTAACGGAACAAGCCCTGATGGAAAAGGACTGTGTTCCATTATCTGAAGTAGGCTTTAAAAGGTGGATGATAAGAAACTTCTGGGAGTTAAAGGAACTTGTTCTAACCCAATGTAAAGAAACTAAGAATTTGGAAAAAAGGTTCGATGAAATGTTGAAAAGAATAGACAATATAGAGAGGAATATAAATGAACTTATGGAGTTGAAAAATACAACATGAGAACTTAGTGAAACATGTACAAGCTTAAACAGCCGAATGGATCAAGCAGAAGAAAGGGTATCAGAGGTCGAAAATCAACTCAATGAAACAAAACAACAAGACAAGAATAGAGAAAAAAGGATAAAAAGGAATGAGCAAAGTCTCCAAGCAATATGGGACTATGTGAAAAGACCTAATATACGCTTGATTGGTGTACCTGAATGTGACGGAGAGAATGAAGTCAAGCTGGAAAATACTCTCCAGGACATTATCCAGGAAAATTTTCCTAATTTAGCAAAGCAGGACACTATTCAACCCCAGGCAATACAGAGAACACCACAAAGATATTCCTCAAGAAGACCAACCCCAAGGCACATAATCGTTAGATTCACCAAGATCGAAACGAAGGAGAAAATATTAAGGGCAGCCAGAGAGAAAGATCAAGTTACCCATAAAGGTAAGCCTATTAGGCTTACAGCAGATCTCTCAACGGAAACCCTACAAGCTAGAAGAGAGTGGGGGCCAATATTCAATATACTTAATCAACAGAACTTTCAGCCCAGAGTTTCATATCCTGCCAATTTAAGCTTTACATTTGAAGGAAAAATAAAATTTTTTAGGAACAAGCAAGTACTCAGAGATTTTATTACCACCAGGCCTGCTTTACAAGAACTTCTAAAAGAAGCACTATACACAGAAAGGAACAACCAGTATGACCCTATCTAAAAATACACCAAAAAGTAAAGAGCATTAACACAAAGAAGAATTTTTATCAACAAAAGGACAAAATAGCCAGTTAATATCAAACGGCAGCAACACTAAATTTAAATCGACCAAATCTCCCAATCAAAAGATACAGACAAAATCTAACGGTATATCCAAAGATATGCATAGAATCAAAATAAAGGGTTGGAAAAAAAAAAACGTACCAACCAAATGGAGAGCAAAAATAAATAAATAAAAAGCAGGAATTGCAATTTTCACATTTGACAAAACAGATTTCAAAGCTACAAGGATACAAGGATAAAAGGATTAATGTAATAATAAGAGATCTTAACACCCAGATACATAAGACCCATAATGAGATTTAGATTCAACGAGACAGAAAATTGATAATGATATCCGGGACTGGAACTAAGATCCAGAACAAATAAACTCAATAGAGCTCTCCATTTTAAACACACAAAATATACATTATCCACAAAACCTAACGATATATCTAAAGATATACAAAGACTCAAAACAAGGGGATGGAAAAAAACTCACCAACCAAATGGAGAGCAAAAATAAATAAATAAAAAGCAGGAGTTGCAATTCTCACACTTAATAAAATAGATTTCAAAGCTACAAGGATGCAAGGGTAAAGGATTAATGTAACCATAAGAGATCTTAACACCCAGATACATAAGACACATAATGAGATTTAGATTCAACGAGACAACAAATTGATAACGATATCCAGGACTTGAACTCAGAGCCAGAACAAATAAACACAATAGAGGTCTCCATTTTAAACACATAAAATATGCATTAACCACTTTAAACACTCAAAATATTTATCGGCCATTATTGAAACCCATTTTAGGAATGAAGTAATATTCCTTTTTCCCTCTTTTTCTTTTTTTCCCCTTCTTCTCTTTTTCCCTCAAAAAAAAAAAAAAAAAACAAACCCAGGTACCTCTTCCCACAGACTCATAAATTCTTCTTGTTAATTTTTGCAACTAACCATAGTTATTTTGTTCTTAAAATTCTTTCCCTGCCAGGCACAGAAGAAAAAAAAAAAAAAAAAGAATTCGAGGCAGCATTATTCCCCAAGGCCTTTTGTTACGAGTTTGCTTCTCAAAGTCATCTTCCGAATCCTGCTGTGCTAAGCGTCACCCCAGCTCAGCCCAGTTATGAATCTCATTGCTGAGCTCTGAGCACAGGTCGTCTGGCAGCATTTCTGATTGTAACCAGTTTTGCGCAGTGAGATCACCCTGCTGACCATGGCCAGTGGCTCCCAGCAGTGCGAGGATATGCGTGGGGCCTGCTTTTGTGACTGCAGCATTCACCCTTCCGGGGACAGACAGTGGCTCTTGCTGTCTCAGTGCCACTGGAAGAACTCTAAAGGGCGCCTGGAGGACTGGCTTGGACTTTCAGTTCTGTCACTTATGAGTATGTGACCCTGGACACGTTACGTATCTCTCTGCCTCTCGGTACTGTGACCTGGGTATAGTTAACACCTGCTTTTGAGGTCTAGTGAGGAATAAATGAGACATTTCAGTGAAACAGCTGCACTGATTTTACAGTTCTCAGTTCTGACCCATGAATCAAGTAGATTTCATTTCATTATGACTGCATGTAAAAAAATTTAGAATAGATAATGAGTATAACATTTTATTATGGGGTGATGAAAATGTTCTCAATTAGACTGTGATAATAATGGTACAACTCTGGAAATGTATGAAAATCTACTGAGCTGTGTACACTTTAAATGGGTGAATTCTGTGGTATATAAATCATATCTTAATAAAGTTGGTTATAAAATAAAGAGCCCTTAAAAAACCATCAAGCTTTACATTTGGGATTGTGAATTTATTATGATATGTTAGACCACAATTAAAAAATTTGGTTGGGCGTGATGGCTCACACCTTTAATCCCAGCACTTTGGGAAGCTGAGGGGACGGATCCCTTGCGGTCAGGAGTTCGAGAGTAGCTTGGCCAATAAGGCAAAACCCCTTTTCCACTAAAAATACACTAAATTAGCCAGGCGTGGTGGTGTGTGCCTGTAATGCCAGCCACTTGGGATGCTGACTGGGAGAACTGCTCGAACCCAGGAGGCAGAGATTGCAGTGAGCTGAGATTATGCCACGGCACTCCAGCCTGGGTGACAGAGCAAGACTTAGTCTCAGTTAAAAAAAAAAAAAAAAAAGATACAGGCTGGGCATGGCGGTGCATGCCTATATCCAGCACTTTGGGAGGCTGAGGTGGGAGGATCCCTTGATGCCAGGATCTTGAGACCAGCCTGGATAATGTACTGATCTCTGTATCTACAAAAAAAAAGATAAAAAATAAAATTTAATTGAGTGTATTGGTGCACAGCGCACACAGGTAGTTCTACCTACTAGGGAGGCTGACACAGGAGGATCGCTCGAGCCCAGGAGTTTGAGTTTGCAGTGAGCTATGATCACACCATTGCATACTAGTCTGGGAGATGGAGCAAAAACCTGTCTCTAAAAAATTAAAAAAAAAACAGACATAAGAAATAAAATAGAAAATATCAGAGTGCCTCACATGTAGTAATGATTAACATCATTTTCATGAACTCTGTGTAAATATGTGTATGCATGTGTGTGTGTGTGGACTGGGCTGCAATAAAAATGTGTTTCTTACAGAGAGAGGGCTGTTGCTTTAAACATCCATTGGCCTAGTGCCTACCGGGTCAGAGCAGATATAACAATGGTTATTTATGCCCGTTCTCCCCTTCCTTTCCAGAAATGCAAATAAAGAGGAAGAGCACACCCATGTTCAGTAACTGACTTTGGCTTCACAGTGTTGGCCTGTTTTCTGACAAAAGAGAGCAGAAACTCTGACTAGCTGGAGGAGCCCCGTTACCACCCCCTTCTGTGTGTAAATGTACACACACGTGCATGCACACAATTAAATCAGGCTCTCTTTTTCTAGTTAAATAAACCCCACACTCACCAAAGGAACAAATAGTTGGCCTATTCCCAAAGAAAATGTGCCTCCCGGCTCCTGGTTTTGGAGGTTTTGCAGTGTTTACTTCCAGTGATCTCCACTTGACTCCTTCCCGCTTTCATTTGGTTGTAAATACCACAATTTAAACTAGCTGCCTGCTGCTGTGACCCTGCGTGGGAGGTTGTCTTGACAGAAGTGGCAGGCCTCCCTGGCCCCTCCCTCCTCCAGGTGAGTGTGGGGTGGAGCGGGGTGGGCAGACCCGGCCATAAGCAGGAACATGGCTGTCTCGGGGGTGAGTGTGGGACAGGGACTGCAGCCACTGCCACAAGCAGGACTTGGACCTTGTGCTCAATCAAGATAAATAGATGAAGTCATCCAGTGCCTGGCGACCTTTTGAAGATGATGCAGTATAAATAGCCTTGGGAAGACTGTTTCATCAGGGATGAAACACTTGTGTTTCTGTTGCTTTCTGATGATTCTTTCCCTTTGGTTGCTTGCCCCTGTGACACATTTCAGTAACTGCCAGATGGGCCTCGGGTGGATGTGTCCAAAGTTGGACACACATTCCTATTTGTCCTATTGAGTTACGGTTTTTTTTTCTTACTTTACTTTTTATATATTACTCCAAATTAGCTCTCTGCTAGTGATGTGAATTGCAAATATATTTTCTAGTTTGTCATTTGTCTTTTAGATTTATTTATGTTGGTTTGCCCTACAAACTTTTAAAAAAAAATGTATGTAGTTGATTGGATCAGTCTTTTTATTTGTGACTTCTGCTGTGTTTTGTACTTAGATTTTTTTTTAAACACCAAGATTATTTTTAAAATAGCCCATCAAGTATTCTAACACTTTTGATTTAATTTTTTATATTAAAAGTTTAAATCCATGTTAAATGTATCCTGGTGTAAGATGTGAGGTGTGAATTCAACTTCATTTCCCTCCCCCAGATGGTTATCGAATTGTTCTAACACCATCTTTTATGCACTGATTTGAAGTGCTGTCCTTTACATATACTAAATTATCACTTATGCTTGTGTTTATTTATGGGCTTTTTATTCTGTCCCACTTATCTGCCTGTGTATTTCTCATCAATACCATTTCAACGATTAGTTGTAAACTGTCAAATGTTTGTCCAGGATGACCCATTATTACTCTTCTTTTTCAGAAGTTTCCTGATTACTTTGCTTGTATATGTCCACATATGAATTTTAGGATCAGCTTATCTAGTTTAAAAATCTCATTATTTTATTGGGATAGTTTATTTATGGGGTATTTACTAATGGAGTAAGTTAGGGAGAAATGACATTTATGGTGTTTCCCATTTCCCACTCCATTAATATGATATGCCTTTTTATTTGCTCAGGATTTTTTTTATGTGTCCAGTGGTAACTACCTTTTTTTTTTTGAGTTGGGGTCTCGCTCTGTCACCCACGCTGGAGTGCAATGGCCGTGATCTCAAGCAATTCTTCTGCCTCAGCCTCCTGAGTAGCTGTGATTACAGGCGCCCGCCATTGCACCTGGCTAATTTTTGTATCTTTAGTAAACAGAGGATTTACCATGTTGGCCAGGCTGGTTCTGAACTCCTGACTTGAGGTGATCTGCCCACCTCGGCCTCCCAAAGTTCTGGGATTACAGGCGTGAGCCACTGCACCTGGCCCCAGTAGTAACATTTTAAAGTTTTAATTTCATATAGATCTTAATAGTTTCTTGTTGAGTTTATTTCTAAGTAGTTTTTCTTTTTTCTATTGGGAATTACTGTTTAATCTTCTAACTGTGATTTGTATTTATTGAAAGCTATTGAATTAATTATTTCTCCATATTAATTTTAAAAGCAGTCACCTTACTGAAATTCTCATTTGTGAAATAAGCACACTGGGTGAGCATTTGAATCATTAGAAATTTTTTTTTTCTCTTTTAATGTTTATTCAAGCAGTAAATTCCTTATACTGGTGAGTTCAAGGTTTTCTTGTCTTGTGCAATGACTAATGTTAACTACTTTTTATTTTGGCAGAACTTATTCGCCAGTTTGTCACTGATGTGTCTCTAGTTGTGTGATGTGTTAGGAGTTTTATGTTATTTATGCCAACGCCATTATTTTGTGTCAAATCAGCACAAAATTTAAATATTTTTCCAGTGAATTCAGTGATGCATTTTTCTTCTTCTTTTTTAACCAATTGAATTATAAAATAACACAAGAGCCTAATAATTATAATCCATCACTTCTTCTGGAGAGCTATTTCTTCTTATTTAATGAATTATTGCTTTTCGAATAGTCTCAAATTTCTCTCTCTTTTTCTTTCTCTTTCTCTTTTCTTTTTTTTTTTTTTTAATGGAGTCTGTCGCCCAGGCTGGAGTGCAGTGGTGTGATCTCAGCTCACTGCAACCTCTGCCTCCTGGGTTCAAGGGATTCTCCTGCCTCAGCCTCCTGAGTAGCTGAGACTACAAACGTATGCCACCACGCCCGGCTAATTTTTCTTTTTTGTATATATATTTTTTGAGACAGAGTTTCACTCTTGTTACCCAGGCTGGAGTGCAATGGTGTGATCTCGGCTTACCGCAACCTCTGCCTCCTGGGTTCAAGCAATTCTCCTGCCTCAGCCTCCCGAGTAACTGGGACTACAGGCGCGCACCACCATGCTCAGCTAATTTTTGTATTTTTAGTAGAGATGGGGTTTCACCATATTGACCAGGATGGTCTCGATCTCTTGACCTCATGATCCACCCGCCTCGGCCTCCCAAAATGCTGGGATTATAGGAGTGACGCACCGCACCTGGCCTCTTTTTTGTATTTTTTAGTAGAGATGGGGTTTCACCGTGTTAGTCAGGATGGTCTCCATCTACTGACCTCATGATCCATCCCCCTTGGCCTCCCAAAGTCCTGAGATTATAGACATGAGCCCCCATGCCCAGCCTGAAATTTCTTTTAGTTACAATTTCCTTCTTGATAATGAAATAATTTTCAACAATTTCTTTGCTTCTAATTGTTGCTTTTATTTCATAATCCATTAATTTTGTATATGGGTTTTCTCTTACTTTCTTAACAAATAAGCTTAAAGATGAGCAAAGAAAATCCTTTTTATATGTGTCCAAATTGGGAATATGTAATTATGTTCCAAAACATCTTTCAATTACAGTCATAATGGCATATTTAAGATGTAAGAAGATTTTGAATAAACATTTTGCTTTTTATTTGTGTTCAGGTTTCTCATTTCTGTCTGTGAAAATCCATTTTAGAGACATTAAAAAAATGTTTAGTCACGTTGCAGGCCTTGATGAGAGCGGGGGACTCATTCAATTTGAATTCAGTGGTTTGCAGTCACTTCTGTGCAGTCAGTTGCTGCTGGCTGTCCGGTCTGGGTGGCTCCCAGGAATGCCTTACTGCCCATCCCTACTGCTGACCACGGGCGTGCAGAAACCCTGCTCCAATGCCACTAGGCAAGATGGGAAGTGTGAGGAAGTTAAAGTCAAAATAAGAGAAAAGTCCTCATTGACTGCAGTTAAAATCTACAATTTTTGCAAATTTTCCACAACATAGGGGGACACATGAGCACATCACTGGAGCCCTTCACAGGCCTCTGAAGGAAGGATGGCCTGGGTGAAGGGCTGAGGCATGGGCCTCTCTAGCTTTAAAAACTGCCTCTGCTGATTGTGCCTGCATGGGCCTCACAGCTTCTTTAGTTTCTCTTAGAGAATCAAAGGTCCTTTGTTGACTTTTAATCACGAAACTTCATCTCAATTAGGTCATCAGAATGTCCAGACCCACATAACAAGAAAACTTCTAACTTGGTTCAAAGTTACACTGGCTACGACCTTCTGTGTTTCAGAACCTGGGATGGGGTTATAAACCAGTTGTTCTAATAATAATTTTTTTTTTTTGTTTTGGAAATGGAGTCTTGCTCTGCCATCCAGCCTGAAGCTGAGTGGCACCATCTCAGCTCACTGCAACCTTTGCCTCCTGGGTTCAAGTGACTCTCCTGCCTCAGCATCCTGAGTAACTGGTGTGTACCAACACACCCGGCTAATTTTTTATGTTTTTGGGAGAGACGGGGTTTTACCCTGTTGGCCAGGCTGGTCTCAAACTCCTGACTTCAAGTGATCTGCCTGCCTCAGCCTCCCAAAGTGCTGGGATTATAGGCATGAGCCACTGTGCCCAGCCTTTAAGAATTTATTTTAAATGTATTTGATATGTATAGTAAATTTAATTTAGTCAATTTCTGTTGATTCTCTTATTTTTTTTAGTAAACAACCAAATTGCCTGAAAATACAGTTGACCCTTGAACAACCTAAGTTTGAACGGCATGAGTCCACTATGCTTGGATTTTCGTCTGCCTCTGCCACTCCTGAGACAGCAAGACCAACTCCTCCTCTTCCTCTTCCTCCTCAGCCTCCACAACTTGAAGACCATGAGGATGAAGAACTGGATGACGATCCGCTTCCACTTAATGAATAGCAAATATATTTTCTCTTCCTTATGATTTTCTTAATAACATTTTTTTCTTTGGCTTTCTTTATTATAAGAATACAGTATCTAATACACATAATGTACAAAATATGTGTTACTTGGCTGTTTATGCTATTGCTAAGGCTTCTGGTCAATAGTAGGATGTTGGAAGTTAAGTTTTAGAGGAGTCAAAAGTTATACTCAGATTCTCACCTGCACTGGGCTGGGTCCCCCTGACCCCATGCTGTTCAGGTTTCCTCTGTAATGGTGATTTTCTGTATCCTTTTACAGCTCTCATTTCTTTCTCTTGTGTAATTGTTTTGACCAGTGAGCAGAAAGAAAAGAGTTAACACAGGCGACCTGAAACTGCTTTTTTTAGAAAGTCCTGCTTGCAAGGTTGGCCCTTGGCTGGTGTCTGGAAACAGATTTTGGGAGGGGTACACCATTAACTGACTGATAAGCGTGACTCACTGTTCCTAAATTATACAAACAGAAGAGTCCATGCTGAGCGTCTCTTTTCTTCTGAGATTCTGGAATTTGGGTATTTGCCAGGCAGAGGTGCTGTGTGACCAAACCCCAATAAAAACTCTGAGTTCTGAGTCTTTTTTTTTGAGAGGGGACATTGTTCTGTTGCCCAGGCTCAAGTGCAGTGGCCAGTCTTGTCTCATTGCAGCCTTGACCTCCCAGGCTCAAAGGATCCTCCCTGCTCAGCCTCCGGAGTAGCTGGGACTCGAGTTGTACTCCACCACCCCCGGTTAATTTTTGTACTTTTTTGTAGAGACAAGAGATCGGATTTCGCCATGTTGCTCAGGCTGGTCTTAAACTCCAGGGCTCAAACGATCCTCCTGCCTTAGCCACCCAAAGTGCTGGGATTACTGGTGTGAGCCACCCTGCTTGGCAGGGTACTGAGTCTTTAATGGGCTTCCCTATTTGGGCTGCATCTTGAATGTGTTGTCACAACTCCTTGCTGGGGGAATGACTCCCTGGGTGAGGACCCTTGGAACCTTGTGCCTGATTCTCTCTTGAGCTTCCCCTTGATCTCTTCCTTTTGCTGATTGTGCTTGCAACCCTTTTGCTGTAATAAACCTGTGTACTGGGTCTTGTAAGTTCTCCTGGTGAATTAATCTAACTCAAGAGTGGTCTGCCCCTGACAAAGCAAGACACTCTATTTGTGGTGGAGTCACATTGAAATGGTGAGAAATGCCCTCCTCCTGCCCATATTACAATGACTGGCTCACAGACGTTACCCTCTGAAGGTACTACTTGCCTGCTGTTCCACTGAAGCATGTTTCAGAGCCATCAGCCTCATCTGGAGTGCCTGTTAACGTGCAAAGCTTGTCTCCCACTCACAGAGCTTCTGATTGAGGAGATCTGAGGGGCCAGGGCCTGCGTGCTGCAGGCTAACCAGCACCCCAGGGGTCTAGACACGATGGTCCCCAGACGCAGCCCAGGCACCTGCCTTTATCTTCTCTTGGAGGCTTGTCCCAAAGGGTTTCTCTTCCTATCCTTTTTCTCAACTTCCCTCCTCAAAGTCCATCAGAATGGAGGTGTAGAGGCAAGGACAATTCCCTGTGACTTCAAATTGATTGATTGATTGATTGATTGATTGATTGAGATGGAGTCTTGATCTGTCACCCAGGCTGGAGTGCAGTGTTGTGATCTTGGCTCACTGCAACCTCTGCCCCCCAGGTTTAAGTGATTCTCCTGCCTCAGCCTCCTGAGTAGTTGGGATTACAGGTGCCCACAACCATGCCCTGCTAATTTTTATATTTTCAGTAGAAACAGGGTTTCATCATGTTGGCCAGGCTGGACTGGAACTCCGGGCCTCAAGTGATCCACCTGCCTTGGCCTTCCAAAGTGCTGGAATTATAGGTATGAGCCATCCCACCTAGCCCCAAGACTTCAATTTATTTGTGACTGCACTATCCATGAATATGGCGAAGCTGGGGCAGTTCACTTAATTATCCTTAGCTTCAGTTTCCTTAACTATGCAAGTGAGGATAATGCTCCCCTACAGAGCTACAAGGCTGTAATGAGATAATGTATATAAAGGGTTCACTGTTATGTGTTTGCCAATTCTCATTTTAGTTTACTTTTCCTAGTCTACTTTTCCCAGCCTCCCTTGCAGTAAGGTGGGACCATGTGACGTGGTGACGGGCACCTGTAATCCCAGCTACTTGAGAGGCTGAGGCAGGAGAATTGCTTGAACCTGGGAGGCAGAGCTTGCAGTGAGCCAAGATCATGCCATTGCACTCCAGCCTGGGTGACAGAGCAAGACTCCATTTCAAAAAAAATAAATAAATACTTCTTGATCAAGTATTACCCAAGTCCAGTATAGGCAGAGTGCAGAGAGGCGCTTCTCCACAGAAGGCACAGGCTGGGTTCCGCTGTCCTCCACCATCTCACCACATCGTTCCTATTGCTCCAGATGAAGGGATGGAGGTGGGAATGAGTTCAACCCTGTGGGTTCTCTGCTCACATCCAATTGACCAGAGCCAGGAGTTCAAGAAGTGATCTTCCTGACTTGACCTCCCAAAGTGTTGGGAGCCACTGCACCCAGTCAAATTCCTTTCTTAATGGTTTCTGCTTCTCCAGCATATTACAGATGAATTTCAACTTAATCCATCACTTTCGTGGCCTCTTGTCCTTTTCCTAGTATTTTGTCATCTACAAACCTAAGGAAACTAATACCTACTGTGCTACCTGGAACCTTGATACAAATTGTGAAATGAACCTGTCCCCAAGGCAGAATGCTATCGAGCACAACTTTCTTAGTCCTGCAAAGCTGACACAGATCTCGGAAGAGAAAAGCTTGAATGTACTGACCCAAATGGCTACTGATCCATGATGCAAAAACCTAAAAGTACTAGCAGTTAAATCTGGGTCTCATAGTCTTCTCACTGACAAATCTTGAGCATTCTGAAAAGCTTCTTTGAAGAAAGAATTGGTTCTTGATGTTCCAAAGTATACTGGTCTCTCCTATCATTTGAGGTGGATGAATGGCTACCGTTTTGGAATCTGCATTGTGTATGGGTGGGGATGTGGGAGTTACCTGTTACCTGTTCCCCTCCCCAGGGCCTTTCCCTCCCCTTCCCTCCCCTTTTACCCTCCCTGGGGCATCTCTCACCCCTCAATCATCCCCCCATCCACCTTTGGAGGACCATTTCCTCTTAGTGACTGATAATTAAATTCCTGAACAGAGATCAGGATGCCAGGGATTTTAACAGCCGAGACTCAACCAAGGAGACCTTGAGAAAGCAGCAGGCACACCTGTGCTCAGATAAGCTGACTTTCCTGTGTTTTCCATTTGTGACATCTGTCACCATGGGAACAATGACAGTGCACCTGTCCCACTTGGCAGGGACTTTGGTTGGAGCCATTCCACACCACACAGCTTGGGACTCAAACTGCCACGGAGGAGTCAAGAGACCTGTGCGCTGCTCACCTGTTCTCAGTGTGGCCTCCAGTAAACTTTAGCTTTTCTGGGCCTAACATATTTTCTATGTTTAAAAGATGAAAAATACATCTAGACTTCTACTCATTCCTGTTGACTCTGGTTTAAACTGATTTATTACAAACCCTTTTCATCCAGACCAGTAATTCAAGTGTTTGTTTGTTTGTTTGTTTGTTTGAGACTGAATCTCACTCTTTTGCCCAGGCTGGATTGCAGTGGAGCGATCTCAGCTCACTGCAACCTCCGCCTCTTGGGTTCAAGCAATTCTCTTGCCTCAGCCTCCCAAGTACCTGGGATTATAGGTGCCTGCCATCACTCCCAGCTAATTTTTGTATTTTTAGTAGAGACAGGGTTTCTCCATGTTGGCCAAGATGGTCTGGAACTCGTGATCTCAGGTGATCCACCTGCCTCGGCCTCCCAAAGTGCTGGGATTTCAGGCCTGAGCCACCGCGCCCAGCCTCAAGTTTTCATGATAAGTTATTAGCAATGCGATTGCATGACCCCACTCTTCCCTCTTCCCAATTATTTGCCCTCAGAGAATCTCTAATGAATATGACATGAGGTAAAAGTTGGGACAGTTGGGACTCATTTGGCCATTTCCTAAATGTTTTTTCCAGCACAGGGGCTGAAGGGGTGGCCCTGAGGCTGGTATGCCAGCCCTTCTCAAGGTCACATGAGAGTGAGATGGGCAGTTGAGGCCTCAGAGAGATTCTGTCTGCTCTCTGAGCTGCAGGTTTGGGGCATGTGGACCTTGCCCGGGTGAGTGTGTCTAGCAGTGCATGTGCAAAATACAGGAAAAGGGGCCATTTGATATTTCTAAAAACAAGTCCAATACAAATTCCAGTGTTTTATTAATATTAACCACCTGGAGAAGAGGGCGGTGGCTTGGTGGTTCCTGGAATTTACTTCATCTCTCAAATTCCTGTTTGCATCATGGAACCTGTGTGCTGCTCAGAGTGCGCCGGCACTCCACTTGGCATTGCTCGCATACAAAGACCTTGGCCCTCTCTGAAAACATTGATTTATGATCCTTTTGTTCCTGCTGTTTGATGTGAGAGCACAAAGGGAGAACTCACTAGGGGGTGCATGCCCAGCTCGATGGGTTGGCCTCCCAAGATAGAAGTCCCTGAAGCAAACAGACTTAAATCACTTGGTTGTTTTGAATCTCTGTAAGTGTCTTATTGAAGGTGAACTGTTGTGACAGCGATCCTAAGTCATAAAGTGACTTTCTGGGGAGATGGCTGTCATGCTGTATGGATTTCGTAAGAAAGGAGACAGGAGATGCCCTCAGAGGCGGGCTGCAGGGCCAGCCTTCCGGAGGCCCTCAGGCAGGGGTGCCCACAGACCCTGTGCCTCTCAGGCCACACAGGATCAAGGGTAGACTAGAGCCTTGTCATAGTACTCTGTGACAGTTCCTCTGGCTCTGTCTTGTTCTCTCTGTTGGAACTCAGCTCTCCTCCAAAGGAAGTCTGGGAGGCCCCAAGGAAGATAAGACAGCCTGGGGGATGGACCCCTGAGGCTCCCGGACGCAGCCGCCTCCTCACTCCCATTTGCTTGGGCGCTGTCTGCTTACATTAAGGGGATGGCTTGCCCTTGCTGTCTGGTGCAAGGTCTCATGGCTGCCAATGGGGGTTTCCAAGCTGGAGGCACCTCTGACAGCTGTGCTGAGGCCACTTTCCTTTCGTGGAGTTGCAGTGCTCTCAGTGTTCTGAGCGGGTTTCAGGGGAGGATGGTACATAGCAGGCTGGCCCTCTTTGCAGCTGTTCTGATCTCTGCTAGGGTGCAAAAGCTAACATCTCTCAGACTCCTTTACAACCGAAGATCCAGAGGTCACTTAAGACCATGAATCTGCTGACCTGTGAGGGGCTTGCTTTCTGAGCAGAGCCAAACAGAAAGAGGGGAGAGCGTGGGCCTCAGTTTTGCTACTGTGGCTCAAACATGAGTCAGACACCTTAGCAGGGGCTTCTCTGTACCATTAAGAGGTTACTGGCTGTAGCAGGGAACAGCTCCTTGTCATTCTTGGAAAACTAGCCTAGGGTTTGCTGCTTCAGCTCTCCTGTGAATTCCGTTAACCAGTTACTGTCCCTGGCGACATCTCCGTGGGCTTGGATTCGCTGGAATAGCTGCTGTGCTGTACAATCAAGCTGTGTCTGATACAAGGGATATGGCAGGAATTGTCCCAAGACATGCATAAAAAGTGGTTCATGGGTTGTTTGGTTCCATGGCAGGGGAAAGGAGAAGCATACATTGTTAAGGGCTGAGCGTAGACAGACAGGCTGGCAAGGGAGATGTGGAGAGAGTCAGACGGTCAGTTGGAAGGTGCCCGTAGCGCTCAGAACTCCATGTGTCATTGATGTCTGTGAGCAAATCTTGACCCCTGCCCCCCTGGCTCATGCTGGCTCTGAGAGTTGACTGGGAAGGCTTCTTGCCTGTGAATACCCTTGCCGGCTGTGCCTATGACTTCCACCAGGTGTGACTATGTCTTTCTTGCAGGTATTGGGACATTTTTCCTGTTATTAATTAGTATTAATTTTGTTAGACACAAAATTCAAGAGGATGTCCCAGTTCCTGAGAGTGTTACCTCTGGCCAAGCTAGGTTCTCTCCCAGGTGCCTGACTCCTCTCTTGGCTGATTTACAAAAAGGTGTCCTAA